AAAATAGACCCAAACCCCTTTGGTTGCGTTGTCCGCGAATCAAGCACAAGCCCCATATGCCTTGGGTCCAGCTAACGCTACTGAAACCACCAGCGCCTCTGGATTTCCACCGCCGAAGCATTGAGCCGGCGGATCCACGCACGCAGCAAGCCGCCCTGCCAGACCCGCTGCAGCGTTAAGACCGCCTTCCTCGGCAAACACACAGCACTGCAGGGAAGGAGCTGTCCGACAACTGGTGGCATCTTACGGCATCCTAGTGCAAAAACCTTGTGAAATCATGTCATTCCAAATCCTTTGTCCGGAGGGACATCAGAACAAGCACCACTAAGAGCAAAGGACCCTTGAAAACCGAACATGCATGCATCACGCGTAACCAAGCTTGCATATCCACAGTCCCAAATACATCCAAATACAACTAACTGCATGTAATCGGGGCAGCCCTTCAATTAGCGGGCTATCTGTTTATATACTTTTTGAATGTATATACTTTTTACATTGCTACAATGTTGTAATCACAAACCTTGGGGAGGCCTCCGTGCTCACTGCACGTTCAAAACAACTTCACTCACAGCAATGGGTCCCATGGCCGAAGTTGAATCATAGCCATCGCCTTCTCGGAGTCCTAACCGACACTTCACGAAGGCTTTACCCTACCATTTGCGTCCTCGAACTTCCAAGCTCATCAAAAGGGAACATAAAAACCCCGGATGGATGGGCATTCCGACCTTCCGGATGGATGGATTGATCGGGCTAGGCCGATCCATTCGAAGTCGCCGATTCCGGCTGACGATCCAAGGCCCAGTGGCAAGAACTTGGCGTTCTGGGTGTTCCAGCGATAAGCGCGGTAGCCTTGGAACTTCAAAAGTTGGCCAATTGGAAACAACAAATCCAACGGGAACATAGAAAGCAACCTTAGTTCCCAACCATCCAGCATCATCCAGCACATGTTTAATCACGTATAAACGTTTAGTGGGCATTACATACAATATGTGGCCTTGTTGGAAAATACATCTAGTGGTGGGTTCTTCATTTTCTTCGCTTCTTCATATGTCTTTCTAAACTGGCACTGGCAGCATGAAACCTACCCAAAAGTACAATGAGTCTGCGAGTTTGCGCACTCCACACTCCTGTGGAAAGGGTCATCTTGCAATCTTCGACCTTGATGGAGAACCCAACACCATTGAACATCGTTACAGTCACAGTAATAAAACTGTTCTTCAATCGTGAGCTTGAGCTCATGTTCAACAATCAACGAGGCGAACCCCGCCCGTAGAAAATCCCACTCCATGTATGGAATACTGACCTACATTGGGATGGTTTCACGTGTCTTTGGTGAACATTCATACGGGGAGTGTTTGAGGGATCATGAACCTTTATACCACATCTGCTATGATAAAGCTCCTCTAAGATACGTGAGTTCTTGAGATGGTTGCTATATCACTGGCTGGGCGAAAGAACCAACAGCACTGTGGGTGTTCTCAGTCCTATTTACGAACATCCTGAATCTTATAGACTGGGTGCTCCTGGGTTTTGCTGGTGTAGTTTCATTCTTCCCTGAAATCAGCATAACTTCAAACTTCTGTAAACAACTCGCCTGATGTGTCCTCAAAAGCAGCCAAACAATGACGAGGACAAAAACCCAACACGCTAGATCTGAAGTTCCAGTCCATGTCAAACCGAACTGTTCGTCTGCCCCCCTCTACGCACCCACCCTCGCGCGGACCCGCCGGTGGCCAGAGGGCTATGCTGGATCTTCTCCACGGCCATCTCCATCCGTGCGATGGAGAGACCGCTCCGGAGGCCTCGCCAGAAGCGCTGGATGCAAATCGCAGGCGCCACAGCGTTCCGGGACTTCTTCTTCTTTTTGAGATACCTGGAGGGACTGATGAGTTGGTGAGTTTGGGTGAGGCTTGGATGGGTTGGATCAGTGGGACGTCAAACATCCAGGCCACAGTGACGGTTCAGATCTGGGAAGCCTACAATATCCCGGACTGGTGTCGAAGCTTGATCGGCGTGATTATGTTCATCTGAACAAACGCTACCCGGATCGGCCTCCAACCATCAATGTAAGAGACTTTACCGAACAACCCTGGGTTTTACTAAGGATTTTACACGACAAAAGCCAAATCAACTTTCAACCATTTTTGTTAAATGGTCTTGCAGGCCTAGGGCCTAGGGGGCCACCCAACAGTCAAACGAGTGACGAGTTAACATGAGTTGGGGTCCAAACCCTGAAGCGTTAAAGAACACACACACACACAGGCATACACCATCACACTTGCAAAATGTCATAAGGTCACCACCTTTTTTCCGCTTGGCTAGGTGCAGGGGTCTTTGCATTGGTATAAATTTGCATCACAAAAGTGAACCCCACGGAACCATGGTCCACCCCGCCAAAGAACACCCAAGATGAACCATGTCCACCAGGGTTTGGGGCTTTGCCCCTTTTCTGTTGTCATCAATCAGTCCCCCCTGTTTGGCATCACCTCCCTCAGTTTTCCGAAACCGATCCCCCGGTTTCACTTGTCCACCCGCTGGGCCGGTCGGTCACCCACATGGCTGTGGGTGATGGCACCGGTATCCACATGGCTGTGGTAGGTTGACTCCGGTAGTAGTGGGTTGAGAGGTTCGATGGCGCAATCCCCAAGTTCGGTGTTTTACATGGACCCCTAAAATCAAAGACATCTTGGGGTGCCAGTGCCATCGAACCTCTCAATCCACTGTAGATCTTAAGAATCTTAAGACTAAGAGTCCGTTCTGTTTGGTCAACCCAGGTGGCCCGGTGCCATGACCCACAGCCACATCTTCTCCTCTGTTCGTTTCAAGCTGCCGGTATCTCTTCTGCAGGCTGATGGCTGCTCGATGGTACAGGAGCCGCAGGACCAAGGCACGGATGATCATGTGAAACATCACCACGGCCAAGACAAAGGAGCCTAAAGCGTCGTCTGCTGTTGGTCCTTGACTTCTACCAAACTTGGATTCTCTTGTTCATGATTCGATGCACTGCCAACTTCAAATGCCACGTGGGAATCATATAGCAGCTGTTGCTGAGTATGGTGACGACGCCGAGTGAGCAAGGACCGCAAACGAAAAGGAGAACATCCATACACTTTACATCCCCTTCGAGGGCCGCATGGATTCATATGTCATCAAATGAATTTGATGATACTTATTCCAATGATATGCCAGGACAATGATATGTAATGCGGTATTAATTTGATGATGCCTATTCCGATGGTCCTATGACAATTGTCATCATATGATATCATGTTATCATGTGGTGGTGGTGAGGGACAATGATTCCAAAGTGCATCTGGGTCCGTAGCCTAGTAAAGCCCAGTAAAGGAACGGAACACTGCTCCAACCATTCTGATCATCACCGCGACCGGTCCACCTCCCGATTTCAGCCCGATGCGGTCCGTGCTTCAAGCAGCAGTGGTCGTGAGGGGCGCGGTCCGCCATGTCAAACAAGCGATCCGTCATCAACACGAAACGCCCTTGACGAACACCCTCGCCCTTCTTGGTGCTCTCTTCATCCTGAAGGGAAAAGAATGAGTGGTCCCTCTGGGTTGGCCAGTCATGCGCGCATGCATATATACTTATACATATACTATGTGTATACATACACATACATACATACGTGCATATATATATATGATCAATTGCGTATGTATAAATAAATATATATATATATGTATTAATATATATATATATACTGGTTGGTGGTTTCAACTCACTTGAAAAATGCTGGTCAGTGGGTTTAGTCAAGTACGGGTGGAACATTTATGAACATTTAAATTTATGGGACCACCACCAAGTATACATTGTTGCAGTATACATATAGCCATACAGCCAATTCATGCCGATTCTGTCATTTGAGTCATTTGTCATCCACTGGTTTTATAATGAGGAAACCACCAACGAGATATTTAGGCATGCCATGGCAACCGCGACCAGCTTGATTCATTAATGTCCATTGTTCATCTTGAAGATCGAGCTCCCGCTGCCAATTCCCTGCCTGCAAGCCCAAAACGGAATCCATGATCTTGTACTGGTCCCGCATGAGGTAGCCAACCTGACAGTTCAGGACACACAGGGTGGTCACTTCTGTTGCTTCTTTCAAGATGTAGGATGTAGTACAAAATTCTATTACTAGTATAGAGATGGCCTCCAACCTACTTGCAGTGGCCTCTACCGAGCATAGCGTCCTTGTTCTTCAGAGCTCTGGGCCCGGAACTGGAAGTCTAAGTTGATCCCTCTCTGCACCACCGAGCACAGCGGCCTTCTTTGCCCGCCCACCGCCCGACCTGCTGCATGAGCCGCATCACAGCCGCCCGGTTGAAAATGGCCAAGGAGTTTTGCTTCTCCTGCCGCTGTGAAGTTGGTTTGAACTTTCAACTCGAGATGGGCGAAAAGGGGAAGGTTTTTTGCTACCTTACCATGAATCATTCAGATTGGAGTAAGCTTCGTAAGCTTGAAGAAATCCCAACCCACACACACATATATACACCGGGAATCCTGAACCAAGGGTAGATTTGGTGGAAGCGAGCTGTCCACTGATAGTATTGCCAACAAACCACTTGATTTGCCTAATTGAAGAATCGAATCTGAACAGCAACAATTAAGTACTTGAGCTGAGATATCAAGTGGTGCCTTAAACTTTAAACCCAGCCGCCCAACAAATTAAAGGGTCGTTGTTGGGGAGCATACCTTAGCCAGTGCACAAAACACAAGTTTCCCCGGCTCTCCTCTCCCTTGACCGCATGGACCTTTTCCTTCTTCTCGCTCAAAGGCTCCTGCACATGTAGTCGCTGCGGGCGCTCCCATAGATTCCATAAATAAAGGAACACACTCGCACCACGCGCATCAAATTCTGATAGTGGGACAACATTTGATTCTGATTTGGAAGCCATCACAAACCGCAAGCGTCCTCCTCCAACAAAGTCCCGTTCCTACCACGAGCCTCCAGTTTTTTGACGGGAACTGACCAGGTGAGGATCTCAAACGAATCCAGCCCGGTCAGCAAACCCATCCATCAACAACCCATGGTCCGATCCATCCTTCTTGACCTCTACCACGTGTGAGCCCAACTGCTGCGCCAGCGCGGCCACGGTGCCGTGCTGGTTGGGCCAATCCAAAGGCAAGCGATGTTCGATCTCCGCGCCTAGGACCTGCCAAGGACCGTGGAACGACCTAAGAAGCTCCAAACAGCTGCTGAATGGGTAGGAGGGATCTGTGGAACTCCATGAAGCTCCGAAGCTGTTCTGCTGAATGGGTAGGAGAATGTAGGAGAACCCCCGATCCCGAGCCGTCCCGAATCATGACCAGGATGCATGCAGCTCTAGAGACTCCCTCTGAAGCAAAAAGAACACCTAGGACCCTCCGGTGGACTATGGTGGACCCTCCGGTGGCCTTCTCCGAATTGAAGTCAACGGATGCATGGCTACAAGGCTTGACTGGTCAGGGCCAAGCAGTGAAAAAAGAAAGGAATATGTTCCGTCATCCTTTCGTCTGGCAGGCGCTTGGTGAGTGAAGAGGGTCACTTTGGGTGGAGCAAATCCTCACCAAAGGTTGGTGCGGATTTGAGTGGATGGAGAGTACAGGGCACAATCCCCAAAAGGTGGTTTGTGTGGACCCTAGTTTAAAGAACTTGTCCTGCTGGGGTTTGTACCATCTTCTGCTGTGCCGCTTTATCTTGGGGTTTGAAAGATCAAATGTCTGAACCTTTGATGCTATGTGCTTCGATGCTCAGCCGCGAGGCTGCTTTGTCTTTTTCCTTTTTCAGGTCTAGGGTCTACCTGAACATCTAGCAAACGCATCGCTTTACCTTCAACAAAACAGTGCTTCATTCTGCACTGTCTGGCAAAAGAAATGACACAACATCATTGCTGAGGCGTGCTGAGGTGACAAACATCGTCGAACATCGCGCGAAATCTGTCGGCTATTGGAAATCCAGCTGGTTCACAACGGCATCAATGGCCTTTCACAACGTTCATGTATATCCGGACTCTTTCCCTTTCCAAAGGCCAGCTTCAAAAGAAATGACCATGAAACAGTTCGAAAAAAGTGATCCCTTGGCCTTGTTCAGTCCCAAAACCAACCAGACTTGGCCTCCATGAGCTGTGCTCCAGCAGAGGCATCTAAGCCCTGGAACTTCAGATGGTCATCCGTCGATATCGCAGGGCTGTCTAGGGCTTGCCTGTGCCGAGCGAGGTTGGCACCGAGGAGGGGGCCTATATTTGGGTGAAAATTCCATAAACATGACCGAAGCTGAATTTCCATTGGGCTTTCTCTAAACCGTGTGGATACTTCAAGGCTTTGTGGTGAAGGTATTGGCATTTTTTGGCCCAAACTCCCACCAAACAACAACACCAGAACGGAACGGCCTCATGGTCACAAGCACCTCCGCGGTGAGGAAGACATGACGATGATGTGAGGGCATGCCGTTCAAGGTCAACATGGGCATCGACTCTTCCGGAAAATTCATCATGGAGTCAGTCCGTGTCTTGTAGTTGTCCATGTCCTGGCTTACGACGGGTTGCCCAAGCTGGCAACAATGGATGTGATCGAAACATGACGGGAACATGGTTCACATTCGATACCTTCAGAATAAGCAAACCCATCACTAAACCCACCATATATCCAAGAAATCCATGCATGGAATATGATATATATATATACTGTATCCTCTTATACTGTATGTATATATATACACATGTACAAATAAAGGTGTGTATATATATATAAATTACATACATATTTTTTATATACTGTACACACTATACACTCTTCATTGACCCCTCAAACCACCCAACTGATCGGTAAATATGCCAGTCCCATGGAGTGTCTGGGATACATTGGGATACAGGATTTGTTCGGTGTCGTAGTGTCCTCAGTGCTCCTCAAATCACACCAGTTTCAGCGTTTCAGACTGTTCATAAGCATCTCTGTCTGGAGAAAATGCTAGGATTCTCAAACGCCCCAAGATTTAGATAAGGCTTAGCTGCTCTGCTGAGACATTACCAGTTTGGCAGTCCTTAAAGAGGCAATGCAGCTTGTCATGCGGATGAGGCGGCATATCCTTTCCTGAGACGCGTCACACCATGTTCCGTCTTTATTTTATGTCTTTCAAGGCATCAACTTTATGACTATGATCTTGAGGTGACCAGGGAAAAGCCGAGTCGTTTGATCCCGTTCCATTTTTGTGGGGGGGCCTCCCTTTCCCCAAATTCGAACACGGTGGCCCAAAGGGCTGGACATCTCGAATCCACAGCAACGACGCTGAGGCTGTGGAAACCAATCGGAGCTGAAACCCATCGGAGCCGCTGAATCCGTCACCGTCGATGAAGGGAGGTGTATACCAACCGGGTCGGCCGTCCCATGACCAGGGCCCAGTGGATGATGATGGCTATAGTAAAAATAGTAAATGGCTTGTTCAAGAAATAGTGATATTCGTATACCAACTGTGGTCGGTAGTGGGACAGGGAATGATCTCCTGTCTTCAGCCATAAGCTTCCCACTGGAATGATCTCCTGAGGGTAATAGCCATCCGTCTCATTCAGCTTCACGGCCTGATGCCCGATAGCGTAGCAGGCCCACTTGATGGTCTCAGGAAAGAGCTCCGCAGGCACGTGGGAGAGCAAGTGGCGACTCACCTGGCAAGACCCCACCCGTTCCGGCCGGGCCTAGTTCCTGCTATGGAAGCCATGCATGCTCTGAGAGTGAATCAAAACTCAGAGCAGGAGCATGTTAGTTAACAAAAAGAAACAAACAAAGATGCTAATTGTTGCAAATGCTCCTGCAACGCCAGGCCATCAAAGGACATGAGGTGATCCCAGAAACCCTCACATGTCTCCGATCCACATGCCTATGGCTTGCTTAATCATTGGTACGAGTAGCAACTGGCTTCTCAAAGAGCGCCCAAAACCTGGTTCAAAACTTGGTCCATCTTAGCTGCTGCATTGCCACATGCCATGCTGTGCTCCCTACGCCTGGTCCACTCTCTTCGTCTCTGCGTCTTCAGTGAGGCTATCCCCGGGTGCCGGGAGCCGCCGACCCGGTGCCCGACCAGGTTCCTTGGCCCCCCCCGTTCGAACACGCTCCGCCTGCAGGAGCAGGTGGCTGGCCAAATCGGGCTCCTTCGCCTTGACCGATGGTTTGGTGTTGGGAGGATTCGTTCCTAAGTGGAGGAATTATTCCGTCTGGGCACCGGTGCCCACACCATTGATTTTCTAGGAAGCCACTGTCTGTTGGTCTTGATATGTCTTGTTGATAACCTCATCTTTCCTCAACATCTTCAGCCCAAATCTGGACAACAGTGTCGTAAAAAAACAGAACATGTTCTGAAAAGTGCAGAGTTGATGAACCTAAGTCATCTATCTCTGGTGCTGGTCCATTTATTCCGCCTGCCATCGCAGGCTTGCTCAAAAAGAGTGAGTCCTGGCTGTGCCAGGACTCACCCTCCCAAGGACAAGTAGCCTACAAGCAGACCTAAGGCCCCTGGCCCCTTCTTGTTCCATGATGTTCCGCTTCGATGATTGGACGTATTGGACCAAAGGGGGCAGCTGGTGCTTGACCACCTCTCCACACCGCTCTCTCTCTCTCTCTCTCTCGGGGAGTGTGCTTCAGGGAGCCACTGAGCAATGAACAGCAAGTAGGCCCGAGAGGGCCACTGGGGCACTACTCAACACTGGTTGTGGATCTCTGGCTCCATAAACAGCAGGTGTGGAATCAAACAAATCTATATAATTACCGTTAATAGAAAAAGCAAAGCAACAACTTCACAATGGGTTGAGAGCTTCAAGGGAAAGTGCCTTCACAAAACGCTAACGCCAAACACACCGCACCGCACTCGCGTTTCACCGCTCCGTGCAAGCTCCGCGCCAGCTCCGCGCCCGCTCCGCGCGAGCTCCGCGCTCTCGGCTCGCGCCTGGATGCCCTGCAGATGCTCCACCGAGGCCACGTTGAGCCCCCGGCGGCCCAGCTCCTCGGAGCCCAACTTCCCGGTCACCGGCAGCAAGGCAATGCCTCAGTCGACGGACGACCAGTCGAGTCCGAGCAGTCCGAGAGGTGGGGTATGCCATGCGTGGCCGCGCGGTGCCAGTGACTGGGGAGGTGATGGTTTTACCAGGAGGTGAGGGTTTTGGAGTGGTTGTCGGGCCGGGATGGTGGTGCGGGATGCTGGGCGATGTGGGAGGCATCAGGAGGAACAAACGACCAGGACCTCCATGACATTCTATGACCTAGTTGGCGAAATGGATGATATTGGGATGGGTGGGAGAATCTGTTCAAAGGTCTAGTTGTTAAAAGTTCCTTTCAATCCTGACGAACGGCTGCGGTCAGAACTGAAGGTTCTTGTTTGGTGTATCAAGCGTGGGATGGCGGATGATGGCGGGGTGGCCATTGGGTGGCTGTGTATCATTTTGGGGTAGCACGTTTGACAATATCGTATACACCTAGAATCCCAAACAACCAAGTTTTGCCAAACAGCCACTTCCTATGCAAAGGATCTCACTTGCCATATTGGGTGGAGAGAACGATTCCAAGCCAAATCTATGGTTCTGCATGTCACGTCTGTTGAACAAGTTTCGAACACTCCATCATATGGGATGTTATCTACGCCTACATTGACCCCTGAAGCCACCCCAATGTATGTAAATAATATGTAACATGTGCCAGTCCCATGGAGAGAGTCTAGGCTACGTGAGTCTCCGGAGTCCCGTCATTGATTCCTTCGCCGCGCTGTTGCCGGCCCAAGTCACTGCGCTGCAGTGGGCCCTTGAGCTCCTTGAGGATCGCCTGGATGTGGAGCCAAGTGCTATATATATATATATACATATGTGGAGCCAAGTACAATATATAATGTTTTACATAATATATATATATATATATTATGCAGATATATGATGATGAGTAACTACATATATGTACACCCCGACGGATCCACATACCTTCTGAGAGGCTGATTGGAGACAACTGTATGTAGGCTTGGAGTGTCTAGGGACTGCACACAGGTATCGTATTGATTCATATTTGTCGCGCCCGTGAAGCGAAAACTGTATGGTTCAGTCTGGCGCCATCCATCTTATGGACATTGCCATCCGCATCCAGCCACCACCTTCCATGTCACCTCCCAAACACTTCATCGAACCTCTCCCTGTGGCGCCTGAACCTGAGGTGGCAAATGCCGCCACCAGGGGTGGATGAAATGTCGCAGGGCCGAGGCCCCTTCCAACAAAGCCTCAGGATGCACGTAGGTGGTGCACAAAGATGTCATGCAATCGGGCACGCACTCTTTGTTTGGGCGAATGTGGGGGCAGAGTGTATGTAGAAATAGTACGTGCAACTCTGAGCTCCTACACACAAACACAACCCCCAAAAAGGTAGAGTGTTGGCTTCTCACTGTACTTTTTGCCACTTCCTCACCAATGTTTCCTAGTCGACTCAGTGCAGCAAAGGGATTTCCTTGCTGCAGGAGCTGCACCTGGTGGAGAGTCGAGCTAAGACCCACCAGACTCGGGCCACTCGAGTGGCCGGATCAGCTAGGCGGAACAGTTTGGCCGAAGTCTTGGCGCCACGCCGCATGAAAAGTCACACAATGTCACACATCAATCAAATCATTGAACATTCATGTTTGCAAAGCGCTGCATTCATATATATATATATGTGTGTGTGTGTGTGCAAACAAAGGATGGCCCATGACGGCCCTGGCAGGCGACCTTTCGTCCGTCGTCCCTTCCAAACCTTCCAAACCAAGAGACCACTAGCATGGTGGTGGTCCGCTTATCTGCATCACCCTTCTCCTTCCTCTCCTCGATCGCATTCTGTGCATCCACATGTCGTCGCCAGTTCCTGGTGTTCTGGATCGGCCCCGGATTGGATCGGTGCAGTCACCGGAAACGGGTTGATCAATGCAGGGGGTTCTGAAGATGTTGGGCCCCGACATGCCCCGACATGCTCCAAGGACCACCAGCTGCTCTTTGGGGCTTTCGTGACTAGAAGCTCAGCAGCATATACTCTCCAAAGTTGAACATGATGGGCAAATCCACTTCACCAACACAGCTGGTTCACACCTCTGACATGATCGGATCTGCGCCTTTGGATCACCACAATGGCTGCCTCCTGCAGTTTGGCGCGCAGGACGTCCAATCGTTTGAGCCGCAGTAGCTCCATCTTCCTTGGAGTGGTTTCAGGTGTTCTGAATCAGAACACAAAAATGGAGAAATCTGCATTTGTAGGAACATGATGGAACATGTAGGAACCGATTGGGCAATGTCATGGGGGGCCCAAAAGTAGCACGGAGGACAAAGCAAAGGGAACCTATGAAAAATACGGGGCGCCACGAGCAAGACCGCCATACCATAGATTTGGTTCAATCCTCCTAGGAACAAAGCAAACCGTTGTACCCCCCCCCACCAAACAGTCGATCATCCTCGATCGCGAAGGCTAATTACAGTAGGGGCCCTTGTACTTTACTATACATGAGATTTATCATGCGCCTTTTTCCTGGGTTGGGTCGGATCATCACTACTATGCCAAAGAAGTACTGGATCCACAGCAATTCAATCACAATGCTAAATTGCGTCCTTGTTCAGAAGCTGGGGCACCTCACATGTTCCAAAAGACATGCAGTCAGTAGCTGGAAACAAACGCGTTTTTATATGGGATGATTTACTAGGACCCCCTGTCTCAAACCCCCCAGGAATAATTAGGAAATTATGCTGCCCCCCTTGGACTTGTTTTTTTGATAATTATTCTGTAACTAATTTAGTTGTCGGAATAATTTTTGAGGTATTGCTACTGAACCCTCACCTTCGTAGCCGCGTGTTTCTCTGCAACACGGCCAGGGAACCGAGTCACCTTCTTAGAATGACCACCCATTGGCAATACACATGCTTCAATTTGAAACACATCGGTGTCCAAAGCCAGCTGAAGGCAGGCCAACGGAGTGCCAATGCAACTATTCCACCCTTTTAGCTGGTGGCATTTCCCTCCCGCGTGCAGCCTGGAGACGACCCAACAGGCTTAAGAGCCACGCAAACAATGGCCCAAACATTCCACCCCCTCACCAAACCGAGCCATTTTCCACTAAAGTGCGTGGTCGAGCAAATTACATCCAAAAGCTTGCCCTGATTCTAGAATGCTGCCCCTATTGGACCGTGCCGTCCTCCCATTTTGATTTGTTGTTGTTGTCTTTTCTTTTCTCCATGTCCTTTCCCTTTCTAATCCTTTTTAATTGTGTTCTTTCTTTTGACAAATTGATGCTTTTCCTAAAAGCTTCAGGACTGGCATTGGTCGTTGCTTTATTGAACAGGTTTGAGAAGCGCGCGAGGAGGCCCTTCATGCGGCCTGGTCCCCCACATGTTATTATGCATGCCTAGGGGCAGGCCTCTCCAACATCCCCCTTTCTGCCTTCTGCCTTCTGCACCTTCTATGGGGGAGTGAAAAACCGTGTCTTGACCAGCGCAGCAATCATCAACCATCAAGGCCTAACGTCCGATATCCAAACTGTACCTCCTCAAACAATGGCCCGCATCGTGAAACCGATTAATTGGCCCTCCTCGGACCACCAAATGTCCGGGTCCGAGAAAGGAACATAACACATGGAGGTGAAGGAAAACACATGATTTACAGTAGGGAGGAGTGCATAGGATTCACAGGATGTCTGTGATTTGCGCTGAAGCTTCTCGTAGACCATCTGCTTCATGTGCAGTTGTGCCTCGCTCTGGCAGGACATGGGTATGGCTCAACAAAAACAGCAAGCACCCTTAGGGTGACCCTCCTGAAGATGCATTTTTGGCATCCAACAACCATCCTTTGGGTGGTGCTGGAGTGAAGGGTGGCCAAGTTTCCAATGCTGAACCCTCGCATAGCATGGTCCATTGCCGTCACTCCTAATGTAGAATCTTGATTAATAATACCCCCCACATGAAGAGGACGTTTAATCCCAAATGGGATGGTTTATGGTCCTCAAGAGTCTGCATTATATTGTTTGGTTTGGCCTTTGAGTTTGGTTAAACGTCTTAGCGAGAATCTCTGGATCTTGAGGTTTTATGGCTCACTAGTTGAGGTTTATGGCGTTTTGGGGTTGGGCACTGAGTGGTTTGGCCTTCCCTGCCAAGACCCTACGGAGCCCTTTCCAGGGGCGAAGGCTAGGGTCGGAGCTGGGTGAGTACTAGATGTGCCGAACGGAGGGCAGGTGAACCCCGAAGGCCCTTGGGTTGGTCCTCACATGTCCTCACACCCTCGTGATCAGTTTGACTGGACAAATATAGTAGTTCCAACGGGAAGCCCGTCCATTTTGGGAATTGATCAGTGCTACCAAAAGTCGGGGTCTCCCAACTGGAGAAACCTCGCTTTTTGAACCTGATAGAAAAATAGATTCCCTAGTAACAAGTGCCACGCTAGTAGTAACAGGTGCCTTACTACTAGTAACAAGAAGCTAGTAGTAACAACTTAGTACTACTACATTTCTATCTATTTGGGGGATCACCTGCTGGACCGAACCCCCTGCCGCCCACACGCGGCTGCCAAACACAAAACACCCCGCGTCGCCTGAAAGCGGCGCCAGTTGCGCTGCAACAACGACGCGGCCCGCTGGATCTTCTGCACCTTCTGGCGGCCCCAAAGGCCGCGGATTCGGGCCTGGGGAGCAAAGAGCGAGGTTTTGCGGATGATTTTGGGAGATCCATAAGTACCCAAACACTCTCTATGTATGCCATATTTGCCTACATTGGAGTGTCCGGCGCGCCGGGGTATGGCACATATATATATATATATATATGAGAAACACCCTAATTTCATCAACTTTGGATGGAATTCCGATGGAGCTTTCTGGAAAACTTCTGTTGCCAAGTCTGTGATCAAAATCTTGGATTCTTCCCCAGGCTGTTCCGGCTGAGGGCTGTGTGGAGAACAATTGGCGCCTGAGGGGAGGATCTGGCAACTCTACTTCAACGCCGTTGCAGGACCACGTGAAACACAGTCATAATACAATGCCTCACCCATCTTTAACAAATAGATGTGTATATATATATATATAATTAGCTATCATAGGACTGTACCATACTGTACCACTATGTGCTACAGTACAATACGTTACTATGCAATGTCTTTTCCTTGACACTCTTCTATCTGGGGCCCTCTAGCGCCGGTCAAGGCCTGGATCCGGATGGCCGCTGCTAGGCGCTTCTGGTGCCGCTGCCGTGTGAAGATGCCACGGACCAACGCCTGGGTTCGTGGTCAAGTGAAAAGCCCATTGGGAATCAGTCCTAGGAAATGACCATAAGTCATAATATTCGTTTCAGAAGCCATCCCACATGCTCCACCATCCAAGTTCAACGCCTCGTTCCCAGCCTGAATTCGGGCGGCGGCCTTGTGCCGCCTGCGGATCAAACGTCGGCCATGGACAAAGCCACGAAGCACCTGAAGCGCTTCAGGGAGTTGAGCGTCTTCAAAGCCATATCTCTCCGCACATGGCAAAGATCTGCGCACATCTAGTGGCGTAGAAAGATTGGGAACGCCATTAGGCCAAAGACATGAGCGCTCACATGTCTACAATCAAGGGAGAGAAGAACTTTGCTAACAGCATGGCCATTATTAACTCATGTCGTGAGCAATGCAACATGTAACATGTCCTTTGGGTGTCTTTTATTTTGGGCCACATCATGTCACATCCTTCTCTTTCAATGAAGATCCAGTTCCGCAAACCACGCCTTCTGAATCGCCACTGCTGCGCTCAAACGTGCCTTGATCTTCCGGCGCCCGGCAAAGGCACGCCAGGACGCCTGCAGGAGCTGTGTTGGTGGACTGGGCTCGTTGCCCCGGTTGTTTGTTCACCAGTCAGGAAGGGAAATAAGGGAAGGACCCCTGAAGAATGGAAGGAGTCGTTTCTGAGGTGAGTTCAATGATCTACATCAAGTTTGGCTATGTAACACAAAACCAGGCCCAGGCCTTGGGTAACAAGTAATTTGTGTTATTCAATTTCACCTCCCCTAACCTCCACTGGGATTTTCCCTCTCCACGTGCCCTTTTCAGAACAAACCTTTGTATACCTTTGTCGACGTCGGCCTGAAAGCGCGTGGTGCTCGATAAGAGATCCCGGGTGCGGCGCCGTGTGAGGATGCCACGCCAAATGGCCTCAGGAGCGTGAAAGCAGACGTTCTGAACGGGCTGAAGAGGATCTGACCGGTGGATCTACTATCCCTACATATTAAGATGGGTACCTAAAAATATGTAAGTTACAATGGGGGAGGGTAGGGATGATCTACTGAGTGGATTGGGATCCAGCTTCGTACATCCTGATGCCTGACCTGAGACCTTGTGACGTGACTGGCTGCAAGTGAATGCTCATCTACCCAAATCCATATGGTGAATGCTCCCAGCGCCGACGGGTTCATGTTGAATTGGTAAAAAATAACCACATGAGGAATGTCCAAATGTCTTGCTTTTCACCAGTGGGGTCTCAAATGCTGAGACATGCTGAGACTCTCTGAGACCCTTGAGACCTTCCAGGTGTTCCATCCCCCATGCACCAGCACTTGCACCATCCGACCTTCCTCCACCGACCAATTCGCTGAACTCTCTCGCTGATTTGAGCTGAAGCGCTTGAAATCGGGCCGCACTCTTCTGTACCTTGTCTTTGGCCTCGAACGAGAGAAAGCACGAGATCTTCTTCGCTGGAAGAACAACTGGACGGATACAACACTCGATTGAAGCAAAGCAGTGACACTTGACCTACCAAGAGGGGTGCCTAAAAGCAGGTGACAAGTTGCTGGACATGGTCAATAGCAATTGTCGTGTGTACTCGTGTGTAAAATGTGTGCTCTCTCATGTGCAAACCAGGTAGTAAAAAATCAACCAAAGAAATCATGGAAAGGTGTAATGTAATGGCTGCTAACAACCATTGAGCCAGCGTCTGGAACCCTGGCACTGGCATGGCAGGCCAATCTGCTTGGTGCATTGGCAGCTTTGCCATGGTCAAGCCAACCATCCTTGGACGCCCATACTTGCAGTTAACTACTGTATATAGCCAGATGGAGACAGCATGAAAGCCCAAGTTCTGTGGATGATATGCATCCCCACCATGAAAGAGCCTAAGGGTGTGTACCATTTGCCTTGAAACTACCGCATGTTCGTGCCACCAGTGAGAAGCCACTACGGGTGACCCGTGATTTTGTGGGTGCACATTTATCTGCATCACAGTATATGCAATATCCTTTTCGCCATTGGGCACCGGGCACCGAAAAAAGCCGCCTCCCGCGCCTCCCGCGCGCAGTGCTTACGGAACCAGGCTTTGATGATGGAGGCATTCTTACCGCTGCTCCCATGGATGCGCTGAACATCCCACATCATCCTGAAATGAGTCAAGCGCTTAACGACCGGAATCCCACTATATAGTCGACCGGTTTCTGGGTATGTTGAGGTAGATAGTAATGGAGTGGGGAATCCGGGTGGGACAATCCGAGAAATCCGAGATGGAATCTAGTTGAACAATGGCGGTATTGATGGATCTACATAATTCATGATCATTCTACCTACTCCCAGCAACAAGTCACAAGTCACTAGGAATCTTCCAATATGTCCGGCCTATTCGTGACCCCCTTGCAACACCTGAACATCGCACAACAAATGTTTGCACGAGAATAAGGCCGGTACTCTGGCCCCAGAACTCCCATGGCCAACCAAACTCAAAGCAGCCGCAGGCCTCCCACGACCCACGACCGTTGTTGTTGTTGTTGTTGTTGCGGGTCGTGTCAGGGCCGTGTGGAGTCCCGGGGCTGCGTGGACGGTGGCCGCTGCGTGGACTGTGGATGTTCTTGGCTCCCTACTCCAAAGAGGTCCCTACTGCAGATGTAGCATTCGTTCAAATGGCTTTGCACTTCTGGAAAACACGAGATGGGCTTTCACATGTTGCACTTCAACGGTGTATATCTAGACGACCCCCCCCAAAAAAAAACATAGAAACAACCAAGGAGCTTGGTCTTCTGGAAGATCAAGGCCGCAGAGGTTTGCTTCTTGATGGCCCTCCGCGTCAAGGCTCCACGGATATGCCGTTGCATCAGGGCCACCGCTTGGGCTTCCTGCTGGGAGGTCCTCGGACGAGCGCAAGTACGGCCTCCGGGCCATGGGGTGGAGAAAATGGACATCTCTTAGTCTTATAGTGCATTGAGAATAGATGGCACAGACCCCAAGAGGTGGTTTATATGAACCCCCATGCAAAGGACATCTTGAGGTCTGTGCCATCTACTCTGAAACCACTGCAATTGTAACATCTTTGAAATTACCATGGAGGGGTTGGGTTCCCTCATGTTGTAGCTGTACCAGGGTGCACCTCTACAAAAAGGCTGTACTCAGTAGTCCTCCTTTTTGCCACCTCCTTTTGGGGGGAGCTGGTCCTTAGCCACCGGTGGCCCTGAAACGGGGAGATGTAGGGTTTTTTTTGGCCCCATGGGACTCCACGCCTACTGCACCATGAAACAACATCAACCATCAATGTCTCTCAGTCACCGCGATCAACACAACATGCTCGGGTGGTCAGGTGCTGCGGTTGTCACTGGGTCGGCGCGTCCGAGGAGCAAAATGTAAGAGACATCATCAGCCACGGTATCGGTGGCAAAGTTGTAGAAGTATCCATCCACACCGGGTGGCAATCGTGGCGGCTCCCGACGCTTCAAGCACCAATGGTTCTCTGGTGTCTGCATCAAAGCAGCCTGGCACTAAGCATCTCTAGCAGGCTTTTGCCGAAGAGCTGTGCAGTTTCCACCGAAAATCAATGGAAATCATGCAGTGGCGTATCCATCCAGCAGGTTCTGTCGAAGTGTCGGAGAACATGGGGCTTGGAAAGCAGTGTGATGACCTTTCGTGGCCATGTAGCTGTCCGGTCCATTCCCGGCGAACGGTGGCCTGACGTAGGTATAGAGTCTAGAGCCCTCTGGGAGACATAGGGAGTTGTATGTCGCATGTCCCCTACATCAACCAATCAAGGAGCCTCCACTGATGCATCACAACGCCTAACACCCTGGGAAACTCACCAAAAATGGTTTGGAACCTGGATTGCCACGAGAAACTGCGGCAAGATCGATTGAAAACCACCAAACGGCAACTTCTCCAATTGAATCCATCCACCTGCGTCTCTCCCTTACCACACCGTTTGGCGCCCGTGTACCTGGGCCGGACCGTGGGGTGGTGTTCGAAACCCGTCGGTTCCGGTGACACGTGTCACACGCCTGGAAGGTGTCGGTGTGAAACCACAGCCATGTATCGCCTCAGTTCCAGTTCGCTCGAGCTTGGGTCACTCGAGAGGACATGAAAACCGATGGCATCCACCGCGAAACGTACAAATGCACAGCCTGGCGACCATCGGTGATGGAAGTTTGCAACTCTTCTGTGATGGTCACTTTCAGGGCTTTGTGGAACAACAGCTGCAGTACATACATTGACATGAGGTTGCATGTGTTGGAGATGGATCACAGCGGCCCCTTCACAAAGAAAACCTATTGAACAACTATAGGGAATCACACTTTGATGGCATCCTTTGATCACACAAGTGATTCCCTATATATATATATATAATATAGAAAAGAACCTGGCACGAAACCACGTTCCTCTACGTACACCATGTGCGGTGTGTCTTGGGCTTTGCTTGAACACTAGGCGTGCAGCAAGCATCGCTGAGCCTCCACAGAAAGCTCATCGAAATCCCTTAGGAGACTCGCACGGTCTGGTGGTGGTAGGGTGAGTTCTAAGCTGTTTTGAGGTAAGCTGTTTTGAACAACTGGAGAACACATATTGGCCCCCTGTCATTGCTATGAATGGGGACACGCTTGGAGAAGCAGCCACAAATAAGCCACCAGCTTCACCGTAATTATGTCAAGATTCTTTGGCATTGTCCAGCAGTTAACGTGGTCAATCAAGCATGACGGGTCCAAGCAATCTCCGACATGCTTCCGAGTACCATAAGGTGAACTCGCCTGCCTAAGTTCATCCGGAAGTATATGAATCCCTAGGGATCCAAGTACCTTCTCAGAAGGTACTTGGACCCTCAAAACCTACACAAGAGTGTCTCCAATCACCTTCTGAGAAGGTGCTTGGATCCCTAGGGAATGTAAATCATGTACCACCCACCATCCCTATATGGAACCTTTCTGACCCGTGACTCACCGGTGACACCCGATGTACGGATGGCAGCGATTCGGCTCGGCTCGGCTGGGAGCGAACAGCTCGGGCGACAGACCAAGCGACCACTGCGGTCTCCGTTCTTATCCGACTGGTTGTCACGGGCCAGAAATCGCCTGCGGGAGGAGTCGGCTGAGGAGGAGGTGCAATAGGCTCCTGGGGTTGAAATCGGTCACAAAGTGGAGCACCTGGAGCATATGATATCAACATCTCTTATAACTTATAACTCTGGGGAGGGTAGATTCTTGGGGAACCCCCTTCATGTTGAAGCAGTCTCAAATACTTATGTTATCTTATGTTTCTTCTGATGTATTATGTGATCTGTCTTACAAGTGGTTTGCATGTGCTGGCACATTCATTCACTCTTGAAACCAGCGCATGGCATAGAGTGCGCCAGCTCCTCGCGTTTTAGCTACTTTGGTTTGTTTTTTACTTTTGCACCGGCTTGGACGTTGATGTTGATTTTTGTGGCAGTGGTCTCTCAACACCCGCTTGAGTCCCAATGTTCAAGCGAACTCCATATTTGAGCCTTCGATTGGAGAAGCCCACATTCAGGAGGGGCAGCTGCTCTCCGAACCTGGCGCGGACATTCAGCCACCGGGCGGAGTGGCTGTTGGAATCGAGGTCAAGGACCCTGATGCTTGCAGCGATAACTCACATGCACCCAGGGCCTGCGCCAGAATATGACCTAAAACATCCTGAAGATCGGCCCCATCGAGAGGACATGTGTCAACCAATTTCATGGACTGAAGTGGTGTGCAAGTGAAGCAAAGCCCGCCCAAGTTGTTTTGGAGACTCGGGCGTCCTGCTTTAGGGACTCAGCATCTCATCAAACCATCATACCAAATAGTGCACAATGCACAACTTCAGAAACCGTCTAATGGGCAGAAAAAAGTCTAATGGGTTTGTCTTCATATGGACATTGTCCTGAAAACATGTGAGTGGACAAAACATGGAGTGATAGTCTAATGGGTTTGTCTTCATATAGACAATGTGGACATAGTGGACATCTATCACTAGGACAACACACTTCGTGTCAGCGGTGCCGTCAGCGGTGCCTTCGTGTCTCGGGTACCGTGAGATAGCGACAGCCAGGAACAGGTAAAGGCCAATGCTTTCCTCGCGACAGCCGGGCGCCCGGCGTCAAGCAAAGCGCGGAGTATACATACATGCCCCCTGAGTGGTTTTCCATGTCATAGCAACGCCGAGGACAAACAAAAAAGGAGTGAAATAGATTGAACATGATTGAATTCGTCCTCTCAAGCCTTTCAGGAGCTCCTGTTTCATCACGAACTCTGTGTTGTCCTAGTTGTCCTTCCTTTTGTTTTCCTTCCGGCAAGCCCAGTGGGCCAAGCGGCGACCGCGACGAGACTTGTGGCTCTGCAGGAAGCAGGGCGCACAGAAGTAGTCTGTGCACTGCTGGCACCACACCACGGAGTCTGGCAAGCCACCTCCGGAAACGAAGCTGAACGGTATCATTACAGGCTTGGGTTTGGTTCCAGCCACCCAAAAAATATAGAACATGACTTCAAAAGGCCTTTATTCAAAAGAACTGCCAAGGGTCTTAACCAAGCATGATCAATTTCCCCTCTGCCATCAGGCCAAACCCCTTGTGCTCTGGCACCCCGGGGGCATAGTGAAGACTAGCGTGAAGGGATGTACACTCCCGAAAACTAACGTGGACCCTGAGAATGGTACCCTCAAAAACTGTTTTCCTCTACAAACCAGTGGTTTTCAGGGACTATGTTAGTTTTCAGTGGGGTAAAGGGCTTGTACTTCTGATAGCTAAGTATGTCTGGAATTGTATTGGGTTAACGGGTTCCAAACACTGCTCATCACAAGGTCACCAAGACCATGACACACTGGTGATCACTGGGTGCCAACAAACCATTCGCAGACCAGATGCATTCGCTGCACTTCATCTTCACGAACCCTCGAAAATCCCAAAGGAACCTTAGCTGCGCCGCATCGCCTGGAACTCAAAGGGGGCACCCTGGTGACAGGCTAAAAGCATCGCCATCAACAGGAGAGTCTGCCGAAATCGTGGTCATTGAGTCTTCTGGGGTTTCACTCCCACTGATGTGGAGAGAGTATGGTCAAAAAATGAAGTTCCTTACTTCCTTCCTTTCGTCGAGAAGCTCGTTAGCGATCACGTCCCCAAGGTGTTCCCTAAACTTCTTCACCATGGGATGCACTGGCTGCGCCGTATCCTGCTGCAGGTTCAAGTACCATCGGGTGTCTTCCCGCACCACAGCTTCCCAGTCAGGGGCTAAGGGATAGCGCAAAGCAAACATGCAGTACCAGTAGTGCGCTGGTCGCTTCTGAATACCCAATTGCGCTGCCATGTCCTGGCAAATCAATGTTAAAGTCTGAAGAGAAATGCAACCCCCTGTGATCTGACTCCTTCAAAGGAAAAACATGTATAACGCTAATAACGCTCTCACATTTGGTAGGGAAATCAATTCACACTCGCCCACTAGCTGGCTCTTCTCTGCAAAGGGAACATCAGAGGGCCCAGAACTATATCTCTCTTTGCATGCGGCGCTCATCAGAAATCCATGCATGAGTCAAAAAGACCATTCTATAATGCTTGGTTCAGTTCAGTGTTCTCTCCACATCTCACCTGTAGACTCATCTTTCTTCCAACAGCCACGCACCCGCCAGTGCAGCTCCTTCACCATCTTGGGGCTGACAATGACCTCCTTGCGGCTGTCTGGGTTCCCACGACTCCGCAGGAAGATCCGCATGGCGCTTAAGCCCTTGAGGCGATATGCGCGCAGGTCCGCGTCCAAGACGTCGGGCCCCGTGGTGCGCTCACGCGCCAGCTTCAGCTCGTCTAACTTCACGTAGAGGTTGTCGCCATCTTCGAGGCCAGCCTGACGGCTGTGGGATGAGGGGTCGTCCTGCCGTTCGGTTGAACAAGAACAGGTGCGGCCCTGCGGCCCGCTTTTGGGGGGCCACCCTGACCTGAACTGCGACCTTGTTGGACGAGGTTGTAGCAAGGTAGGTGGTGGCAAGGGGTGGTCGTGATTGATCACGGGTAGGGAATCATATTCCAAGAACACATTCCTCACAATGCACCATGAAATCATGAAAAAGTACCGTCTGAACAAACAGTGACACCAAATTGGAGGCCCCTCCACTGCAACAGGTTGTTGTGCATCATATGTCAAATCATAGCTCTAAGTTTTTACATCAACGGAGCCTGGAGCATCCTGGAGCTATGGCCAGCGGAATCCCTTAATAAACCCCTTGACTTGGCGCTGTGGTTCCTTTAGGTGTCTGAGGTTGCCGAAATTCCTTGGGTTCCAACTGCCAGTTCCTTCCCGGTTCCGCCACATGTAAGGAATATTCACCTGCAATGGAGTGATTAACCAAGAGTTTGCTTTTTTAATTACACTCCCCGCAACTATCATGGAAGCAAAGAACGGCCAATTGGATGACCTTTTCCACTTCCATGTGACTTATCCTCAGAATGTATGGAGTACACGTCTAAGTTTTGTAAAGCCCTATGCCATTAAGAAGATCGACAAATTCAACAAACAGTCGACACTCTCAAATCAACCATTAGAGCGGATCTGGCTTTCGCAGGGCAACCGCCCCGGCGAGGTGCGGTTATAGTGACGCGGCAAACCAACAGAAAATTCGCGCAAAGAACGAGTAGTTCCAACCCACCAGGGGGTGTAATCACTCTACTAGGCAAAGGGGTTCCAACCTAATTCTTTTTTATACTTATACATATAATTACACAATACATAATCACACATAATATATTATACTTCAGTATGGAGAACATATATTCTATATATATATATATTATGCATTATAATGTCAATGATTGTATTATACACTGGCACACCCCCAGCCCCCTTTGAGGTTTTTCGGGGTGTCATGATGCTCATGGACAAACAAAACCATGGAACTTCCATGAACAAAAACACCCACCTGCAAAGTAACATGTCGCGAGCGGCAAACACCGGGCCTCCATCATGAGATTGTTCTCCAACTCGATGGCCTTGCCCGTCTCAGTGGGCATGGCCTCCCAGGCGCTCAAGCACGTCAGGTCAGGTCCATGCAGGTTGGGTGTTGTTTGCTTTCTGAAACTCGTGACATCAACGGCGAACGCATGGCATCATTCATCAAACATGCTCGATTGCTGTGAAACAATATTAAATCCCTACAAGTACCATCAAGGGTAGAATCAAGTCAGTTCCCTACCATCGCAAGTCGGGTCCTTTGGATTGGGAAAAACGCATATTGAACTGACCCGCCGCGGGCCTCTTCATCTTCTTCCACAGCCAAATCATCCGGAGCCTCAGCCTCTGCGTGCAAGGACAAGTAGGGCTTGATCCTTGGAGCTCGGAGGGCGCGCGCCACGAAGGCGCGGCCAGGCGGCCGTCCGGAGGCAGTAACGAATCTCTGGCGAGTGTGGAGTTCTGATGGGACATGTGAGGGCCCACGATTGAAATAGAAAGTGCGAGGCATCGCAACAAACATCTGTAGCATATTCAATATGATTGATTCATTCCGTTGTCGCTTCCGCATGTAGAGGCAAGAGAAAGCTCAAATGCACGAATCATCGGCGCAGGAGCCGGTGATCCCAAACCAATCACCATCAAGCGATCTTGTTCTTAACATCTTGGAGAGTTCGTTGTAGGCAACACATCCAACCCTCAGGTCATCTATGGTCATTGGAGTCGAAGCGCTCCTGGAGTCCCCAACTTTAGTTCCGTAATGATCCAAGTAACGAGCTCAACTAGCAAAGGGCTCCTCCTCTCGGCTCCTTCTTGACCCATAAGCAGCCGAAGAAACCACTTCTGACCCCGGTCCGGCCACTGTGGTGGCTCTGAAAGTGCTCCTTTCCCGGCCTCCACTGACCCCACTTCTTCCAAGTGGCCACTCTGGGATCTTGCCCAAGGCTAAGGCCTGGAACGTGGTCTCAGGAAAGCTCCGCAAGCGCAAGGTGTAGCGGAACCTCGTCCAAGCGATGCGTCGCTTCATTTTTTGTACGTCGAGGCGTCGAGACGGTCGAGGCGTCGGCGATGCGTTGGTTTTGGGGGACCGGACGGAGGCGGTGGAAACATGATTCAACTCATAGACTTATAGTGGATTGAGAGTAGATGGCCCAAGATGTCCAAGTTGGGTGGTTTATCTGGACCCCATCCATCTAAAGGTTGGAGCCTCTAGGTCTAAAATGTTATGAAATGGTAGGGTTGCCTCATGCCTGACAGGTCTCTCAGAAATACGGTTGCTACTCGTTGAAAGCAATGTAAACTTGGAATGTTCCGAGGGGTTGACTCTGTTCAGCCTGTTTTGCTGCGCTGCCTAGACCATGACCATGCCAAGACCAGCGACATGCGACATGTTTCGCCATGAGCAGGGCGAAACAAAGGCCTCCAAACATGTTCCAAATTGTGTAGATCTAAAATTTATCATTTTTGTAGATCCAAATGTTGCAGGGAAAGGACGACCAAATGACCCCGGACGACCGAGCCTCCCTTCTTGGATCTGTGAACTGAGCCTTCCGGACTAGAACTCTGGGTCTTGACTCTAGCCTTGCCCCCAGACCGGCTACATTCTACACGTGAACCTTCTACAAGTTCCAAGTCAAACTGGCTCAACACCAGGTGCCCAACACCCTGCCACTTCCAACACCCAACACGCCCTCCGTTCCGTCTTGGCCCAAGCGTCTCGACGTCTTCCAGTTCGGCTTCTGGATCGATGGAGTGCTGCGCGTACCATCCGTGGAAGGGGTTCACCGGTTCGCCCGGGTTCGCGGCCACCACGCGCGAGGTGTCTGGAAAGCCCCAGGCATCGGGGTGCGCCATCATCACATCCTTGAGTGGTGCCAGGCTGATGGGGTAGAGGATTGAGGATTCAGGATCCCTTTCTTGGGAGAAAAATAGAGGGGGGTCGTTGCCAGGTACCACACTGTATATGATACATGTGCATGTAAATGTACATATTACAAACACACACACACATATATATATATATATACAGGACTATATACAGTGCATAGACACCGTAAAGGTGTACAACAATAAAACCATCACATTCACCAACTGTACCTCCCCAACGCCCGTTTTCTGGGAGAAGGAAGCAACCCCTCCTTCAGCAACCGGCGGCCGGTTCCAAAAGCTCCGCAATGGGCCCAGGGGTCGGTAGTTTTCAATTCGGGAGACATCCTTCCCTTCTTCCAGGGAGTCGAACTGGGAGGTCCTACTTGAATACACACAGAATCTCACAATAATGGATTTGTAGCCCTGATGTGGGGCACCTCTTTACTACAGGCATTCACATCACTGGCATTCGCATCTTGCTAACAAGTCCCTTGATCATCACCACAAGCGATCAAGGTCAAACAGTTATGACTTTTTTGAAGGAAGGATGGGCCGCAGCACATCCAAAATGCATCAACCAAAGCACAAGGACTCCCCTTCGTCCATTCCTACCGGAGCGTATTGCGCGAAGCAAGACGAAATCGTCCAGGCATCTGTGAAGTCCATCCGCATGTAGAAGAGATGTGCCTTCTTCCGCATGAGCTCAAACCATACCACGCCATCCACGTCCTGCCCAAAACGGACAAAAGCACCTTGCCATAAGCAGGAATGAGTGTTCACTGGTTCGCCCTGCGCGTCATCTAAGAGACTCAGGCATCAAAACTTGTCAAACATGATAGATTGATTGAAAGGAGTCAACCCCTGGGACAGGGAGGTACAGGTCCATCGGACCTGTAAATGCATATTTCCTTAATCTTCCACAATTGATTCCACACCCCAACGCTCGATGTATGCAATATTTACGTACATTGGGGTGGTGGCTTTCAGGGGTCAATGTAGGCACATATTCCATATACTACCATACATACTGACATAGTGCCTTGTCACACCAGAGATATGTTAATCATAGCATATATTCCACACACTGCATTACACAAATTCCCAAAACTGCGCGGGAAAATACACATACCACAAACAAATCTCTTCCCATTCCACACATCCCGAAGCTCGTCCCCTCACATCCCGCAAGCCTGGGCGGACAGACCGTCGACAAGCCGTCAGCCGGTCCGCACAAGAAGAGCCAGTCCAGTCCGCACCCAAATACTATAGATAACTATATGTAATATAGAAACAACAATATATATATAATATCAACCAGGGTGGACCTGTTGGATTGGAGGGTGCTGGAGAACATGTACATAATAGTAGAAACTCATAATACAAGTTTGTATTATATGTATATACTTGGTGCAAATGAGTTGCTGTAGGACTTTGGTGGTTGGATGAGCTAGGACATGCCTGGGTTAACTCCTAGCTGGGATGGTGGGATGGTGGGCATGCCCCAAAGACTCAAGAGATGGAAACACAGGGGAACCCTGGCCTGGAAGTCCCATCTCACAAGTGTCGGAACAGGTTGGGGGACCACAAGATGTCATCTGGTTTTTCACTGCCCCGGACTCATGAGCTAGGATTTTTGCATGAAACAGTTGTCCAAAAGCCTTTCCACATGAGATAGGACTCCTGGATTTGGGTGTAGGTACGTACGCTAACTCCCACGTCATGAGTACACAGTATATCCATAATATCTAATATGAGCACGGTAAGTAGATTTTATACACACATTCTGGCAATTGCTAGCCTTAAGAGCTACTCCTATTGAATTGTGTATGATGGTTAGTACAGGCATGTAAGGCCTTTCTCCAAAAAAATTGATAAACTATAGTGGTTTCAGAGTAGATGGCACAAACCCCAAAATGTCTTTTAAATTGGGATCCATATAAACCACCTTTTGGTGATTGTGCCATCTACTCTCAATCCACTATTGTCCCTTTTTTACGGACTGTTACTGGTAACGGGGCACATGTTTGGTCAATTATGGAGTACTGAGTGCCGGATCTAAGTCTGTCATGCTTTGCCCCCCTTGTTCCGAGTGCCTGTCACGTGTCAAAACCTGCCGGGCCCTGCTCAGCGTGCAGCGCAGCCAGTCCTTGACGTGTAGCTTTTGGAACTGCTCCTTGGCTTCTTTGTCTTTCCTGAGGCACAAGCTGAAACGCGCAAGAAGTCGAAGTCGACAAAGCCTGAGAACTCAGGGTTGACACTTTCAAAGGCTCCCGCGACAAACATTCAATCAAGCTAAACGCATCGGGTGGTGACCATTGAGCCTCCATGCCTAGGCGACGCACTCGTTATCTGCCATCGTCGACCTTATGGCCCCGCTCTCCCCGCTCTCTCGCAGTAGCTTCCTCGCACCGAGCTTCAAATAAAGCTGGCTGAGGATGCAGGAGTTGCAGCCGACTCGGAAGGCTTCGTTCACCGTGTCGTTGAACCCAGGCCTCGCCGCCAACGGAAAACTACAGCTCCGCTGATCCGAAAAAGCACGACATAAGCCTCGCTATTGAAGGAAGAGTTTTCGCTACAACACCTGGAGCACCGAACGTGTCCCCAAGCAGTGAGACAACTTCTACATCTCTAATTCCTGCAGGTGACTCTATATGAAACCCCCTTAGAACTCCTTTAGACATGTCACTAGTAGTAGGGACCTACAAAAACCTACAAAAATCCTCTATCTCGCTTGCTCCGCATATCTTTTTTGAACTAATATCCATCTCCTACAGGGCCCATTTCTCTGTGCCGGTCGGTGGGCGCCCCTACTGAACCACACGTGAGGCCCATCCCTGGGGGAGTCTGTGCGAAACCCCTTCCCCGAACAAAAGAGACATGTACGAAGTCATGAACCTTCAACAAATGTCAGTCGGACTTATTCTGCACTTCAGAAAAATCTAAAAACACACGATGTTGACACGATCTCAAGGTGCGTCGCTGTCGACACGACCTAATCGCCCGATCCAATCCCACCAATTCATCCCACCTGAACATCTGTTTCCATTTGGCCCCGGTCTCATTGGCCCTTTGCAGCGCAAAGCGCATGTGTGCCGGCTCAATGCCGGCCGCCACGCGCAGGGTGGTGCTGCGCGCGCGCAGGTCGCTCTTGTAAGGCTGACGCTTGATCTCCCAGGCTGTCCGGACGTGGGTGTTCACTAAGCCGATGAGCTGATTCACCGGTCTCAAATGTTCCTGCACGCAAGGCGCACACAAGGCGCGACCATGAACCAGTATATAAGTGAAAGACCTCGTTTCGCTGGAATTGGATCATATCTAGAACATACAAAACAATGCTTAAGGAGGTAGAAATCCAGGTTTTGCGGGGTCTTTGGACTTGTTAGGCGTTTGGATCCGTACTCTGGGACGTCACCATACTCAAGAATGTTTCAGAAGCATAAAAAAAGAGGCCAGGGGGCCCATATGAAACTGGTCTTTGGGTGAAGGATGAGGCAAGCCAGGCAAGCCAGGCAGGCAGGATCCCCCCCTTTTGGCCTTATCACAAGCATCGGCCAATGGTTTTGCCTTCAACCACCTGAAGTTCTTCGAACACCTATCAAAACGTTGGTTGTTGCGTCAAAAAATGAGGAAAACCCAGGGGTTTTGATTTGCTGTTCCAAGATGTTCATACTTTGTTGACATAGCTAGAAGAGAAACAGTGCTTTGTCTTAAACATGTTGATGAGCGAGACAGCCACAGAGATTCACTACAAATTGTTTTACCAATGTGTCCTCTGGGCCGCAAGGATTCTCTGGGTTTTCAACACGTCCCAGAGGTTGGGACAAGAAGTCACGATTACAGCGCTTTTGCTCGGTCCCCGGGTGTGCTCTTACAGGTTCGTCATGGTCTGCACGGTCTGCTCTGACTACAGATTCGCTGTCCACAGCCGCTATCGTTTTCCTTTTTCTGATTTTTTCTGTTCAATGATGTCATCAATTTTGCTTTGACTTTGTGGGACATAGAAAATTCATGAAAATTCACTCACAAGGTCCTTTTCTGGGAAAACTCGAGCTTTTCGCTGAAGAGCCGAGGGTTTGGCCCCTGGCCCCTTGTGCAGAACCTACATCTTTGTAGGTTTTTGACTCTCTATAGGCAGATTCTCCATGCAAACATTCAGCGAATCACACCAAACTTGCCAGGTCATTTCCCAACTGATCTCCCATTCACTTCATTCCTGCTCGATTCACATCCTGTGCCATGCCACTCTCCAATCGCGCACGGGCCTGGTGCACGTGGCTCTTAGGCTTCTTCCGAACGAAGTCGCGCTCGGGGCGCGACGCGGCCATGGTGGCAGGAGTAGAGCTGCGCGAGTAGGTGATCACCCCACCTGGTGGCCAGGTACCACCAGGTGCAACGGTCCGGTTGACGAAGCTTCAGTGCCCAAGTCATCCCTGACCCGGCTCCTTCTCACTCCCCATGTCTTACACCAGGACCAACCCGGCACTCTCGCCCCTCATCCACCATGGACCACCCAAGACTGCTGTGAAAGGCCGTTTTCTCTGTCCAAAAGGAGAACAGGGATGCACTGGATCCGTCATTGACCGTCCGTCATCTTGATTTTGCTGTCCAGGAAGCCGTAGGAAGGAACCAAAAAAGGAAAACAGCCTTGGAAGGGGTTCGAAGGGGATGTTCACCCCGGTAGGAGCTGAGAACCATTCCCCGTTTCCCAACAAATCTGCCAGAATCCTTTCCTCATCTTTCCTCTGCACTCACTCACTTACTCACACACTTACTCATACATCCATGGCCGCCCCACCTACAAATGAACCCGTTCCCCCCCACCTTTGATGTCCATGATGTCCTCGGTCGCCTTGAGCTCCCGTTCCACCTCCCAGCGTGCCGCCATGATATCGTCCTCGGGCGGAGCCGGCTCCTCCGGCGCCGGGTCTGGCACCGGGGGCATCTCCCGCAGCATGCGGCTCTTGGTCACCTGGAACGGCCCGAGGACGAGAAGGGGAGGTTTCTGGTTGGGGAGGCTCTGGGAGGTGCAATCCAAAGGGAAGCGGATGAACCTGGAAGATATGATGGGAGATGTTCGGATGGGTTTGCCGGGAATGGAGCGGGAATCGAATCAAGCTCCGCGTCCTCAAAGCACCGCCGACACACTCACTCAATGAAGCGGGAACGTGTCGTTCACACGCACTCCATGCAGGTGGAACTGTGCCATTGCAAAGCACTTCTTGCCAGGCCGTGACTGGGATGTGTTCAATTGTTCTCATGGGGCGCGGAGATGTTTCTCCGGTCCCAGTTCCCATCTTCCTCACTCAGCGCGACCCCGCCTCAAAGGCTGTAGGTTGTGGTGGCCGTGCTTCGATAGCCGGATATTCCGAGATGCCTGGGTAGACCAGCTCTGGGAGCTGTCCCGGCTCGGGGTCCTTCTTCTTGGGCTCCTGGGAGAAAATGGGCCAGTCAGGGAGTCTTTGATGTTTTCTCTGCCAGGGTTGCTACTTGATCTATACTAGATTGAGGTATTTGATGGTATTTGTACGTGTTCGTGCATTGTTTGTGCTAAAGGCTCTGCATGTTTTTTTGGGGCACCCACGACTTCGCATGGTCTTGATGCAAAACAATGTCCAGCTCTGGCGTCAGTTCGGGGGAGGACTTCCGACAGTTCATGAAGAATCCTTCGGAAGTATTACACCGGTCACCTTAATTACTATACACTGACACTCCATGAGGCTGCCATAATGCCTACATTGGGGTGCTTGAATTCAAGTCGTATGTTTATGTGTCGTTTTGTTTCTGGGGCGGCAGCTCTCCCAATCCCCATGGTTTTCCGACAGCTCCGGACCCGAGCTCCCGGCCCGGAGCCGCTCCTTCTCCTTGACCTCATCATAGTAGACCTGTGGCAGCAGGTCGGCCATGAACCATGGTCTGCAAGCTGTACAAGATGCAAGCAGTCCATGGTCTTCCGCGCTGGACCACGACTAGACAGTCTACTGTTCTTCGGGCACTGCAGTTTGGGCTTGGCAAAGCTTCACTCATGTCATTTATGATGGAGTTCTCTCAAGAAACATCAAACAAAACCCACCAAAAATCCTCCAAACATCTCCAAACGATCCATAGATTCACATTCACATGTCATCAAATCGCCATCTGAACCAATTCACCATGATTCACCAACAAAAAAACTCCCAGATTAGGATCTATCCGATCCGCATCGCCTCACTTTCATTATCACTTCCATTCACCGGGTTTGTTGCATGAACCCTCGAGCACCCCGATCTGGCGTCTGGGACACTTGGCCAGGCAGTCGCCCAAACTATAAAGGGCAAACATTCACCAAAAATCACAAAAGTAAAGATCCTAGAAAAGATTAGAAAAGAAAAAAAAACATGATAAAAGAAAGAACCGTTGCTTGAACATCTGCTGGTCTATTTCCAGTGTGGCAACCAATTTCCATGGCAAAGCTGCATGTGGTCCGCCACAACGTCGGGGATGGTCGGGTGGACTTTTCCCGGCGGTGTTGCATCCTCCAAGTGCAGCGAGCACCCCCGGAAGGCACCTGCGTCTGCTGATCGATGAGTGGTGCTGGCAAGGGCCCTGCTGGGATGGCGCGCGTCTCTGGAGGGCCCTGAGCCTGGCGAGACGCACTAGGATGGTGTTTGATGCTTTTCCCGGCAGACTCACCCAGGATCGCGTTTGACCGGGGTTTGGTGTGGAAAACGCCGGTCAAAGCGGGGTCTCATGGTACGACGTCTCTCGGTTCGCAGTTGGCGTTTCGAAGAGTGAATAAGCAATACATGCGACGCCTTTTTCATAGGTCCTAGATCCAATAATATCGTCCTATAGCTTCAATATGCTTCAATTCTCCCTGAGTCCCCATGAGTCCCTGTCTCTCACGGGTTGTCTCATGCCTGGATTCCTAGCAAGGCGAGAACATTGGCACAATATCAGGTCAGGGCGCATCTCTGTAGCACCTCTGTGGTGGTGCCCCGAGAAGGAGTGCCGACCCTACTTGGAGCACTTAGTGCCGGCACTCGAAAGCGAAAAAAACTTGGCTCGATCTCATGGAAAACGACCAGTCCAAGCCCTTCCGTCTGAAACGCATCGCAAAACGGCCTGATCCGTCTCATCTTCATCCCCGTCCTGTTGCTCTTGATTCTCGAAGTCTCGCATCATCTCCTGCGGTTTCGTGGCTTTTGCTGACGTGAAACCGGAACTGCCTGCAGACCCAAACAAGCCATTTATTGAATAATTACAGTACCTGCATTGGGGTCTTAAGTGGGGTAAATGATGGTAATGTATGCAACTATTCCATACATGGATTGTCTGGGATACCACATCACACTCGATGGAACATGTTTGCCGCAAAAATCAAAGTAAAACTGGCAAAACCCACAACATATAACTGCATTGCTCATGAAAGGGTGAACGTCTCCTGCCTGCAATCTATAAACAATAATTTTCCTCCCGTGCACTTCCAAGAAGCAGCATGTAACATGGCCTGCCTGGTATTCTCCCACTGACACTGTGTAGTTCTTCGGGAAATAGCCCAATGTCTCTGGCACGCCGGCTAAATGCCCCAGCGCCCATTCCGAGCCATCCTCGGCCAAGTCTGGATGAAGAATCAAATCAAAGCCGACTCCCGAACCATTTCCCTCAAAAATCAAGGTTCACCTTTTTCCGGCTGTCCCCTTGACAGCAGGGAAACCAATGCCCCAAAAGGTTTTATAGGGATTCCTCCGTCTCTGCCCAACAAGGATGGACATGTCCCGTACTATTCGTCTACTATATACAATCCAAACAACCCATAGGTGAGTCGTTTCTGCTTCGCCCCATGATGGTTGCAAAGTGTAACCGTGCTTGGTGGTGCCAACTCACTTGAACAATTTAAACAATGTTGGTCAGTAAGTCAGTGGGCTTAATCATCCCAAGTTGAAAATAGTAGACATATCTCTGAAACCTCCACCCAGTATATATATATATACATATGCAGTATACGGGTATATAAACATATATATATATTACTGCTTTGGGGCAATGAAGTGGTCATGCACAACTATATAATGACATATCATAATAGGCCTCTGTCTCTTGGCCTATGGTTCGTTCGCTTCGACAAGCGTAGCGTCGTCATGCACGATCTCCACGACCTGGCCAGTGCTTAGCGCCAAGGGCTTCTGCCGGTTGAAGGGCCAATCGATCTTCGAGGGGTCAAAGTCATAGAGCGCCACCACTTTACCTACAGTGTGTTCTTTTGTTTTCTCTCTCTCTCTCTCTCTCTCTGTGTCTCTCTGCGGGCTTGCTTTTGGCCCTCTCTGCCTCGTCTTGAGGCGCCTGTCACATTGCTGGGGGATCATGTGCGTGTGCCTGTGTGTGTGTGTGTGTCAACTCCTGTTTCCAAGGAGCACGACCACATTGATTAAATTGCACCTTAACCCCTCTAGGTGTTCAAGCTGCACAGTCAAGCAGGGGGCCGGAGCCAGGTGGGGGGTCTCCGGCCAAGGAAGACAAAAGACACCCCCGAACTGGGTGTAGACCTACCTGCGCATTTTGTTTTAAGATCAAGTGATGTAAACAACATTAATTGTTTCGGACATATTCACCTTGCCGTTCCCTCTTAGGGCTGTTTCTCAGGTCTCAGGTTGCCCAGTGCTCTAAGCCGGTAATGTAATCACCAGAGTGGAGCTGCAATTAAATGATGTAAACAGTAAACAATAGTAAACAAGATTGTTTCGGACTTATTCACCTTGCCGTTCCCTCTCAGAGCTGTTTTTTCAGGTCTCAGGTTGCAACGTTCTAAGCCGGTAATGTAATCAATATAGAGTGGAACTTCCAAACTAATTCAGCTCTTGCGAGCATGGATCTAACTGTGTGTGTTTGTGTGTGTGTGTGTCAAGCATGTGGGTAGCGAGATGTGATGGCTTTCATGGTGGTACCTTTGGACGATGTGGGGTCTTGCACCGTGGAAATCAACTATTAAGTGAAGAAGACTGCAACACGTGAAACTGGAGTTGACCATGAGTCCATCCATATCCTGCCCTACAAGTTCGCTCTAAAGGCTCGCTTCGCTCGCTTCGCTCGAGAACGGATTAGCGCATAGCTCGGCTGCTCTGATCCGCAATCTTTGATGGATCATCATCTGCGTCTTTGAACTCAGCCATGACTAGGCGAGGCTAGGCCGCTTTCATGAGCCTGCAGCACGAACTTCAGGTACTTGTACACCAGGTGCTGTTGCACCAGGTCAAAGCTGTCTTTTAAAAGTCGAGTCGGTTGCGTGGGGTGGCTGGACTTGTTGGATAAGTTGAGTGCTGCTGCTTGGTGAGGCTAGCCGTATGGATCCAAACGATTGGACATCCTGACCCCATGCACATGATGAGCCCCTCATTGAGCCAACGACAGCATCGACGGATGCAGCCGCCAATCTTGCGAAAGAAACCACGTGACCGTTTTCATGGTGTTTTCCGGTCAGTCGGTCAGGAACTAGCACGAAACCCATCAACGCTTCGTGCAGCGCTTCGGCTTCGTACGTGTTGTGGTTGCCCCGGTGGTGTTGTTGTTGCCCCGACGTGGCTTGAAAAGCACATAAAAGCACGCACCGAAAAGCATCTCGCAAGAAATGCACCATGAGCGCACATACCCATACAGTAAATCTCCGGGGCGACTTGTAGACGGTTTTACTTATAAATCGTCCATCCCGGGCCCACCGCACAGAGACATCCTGGGCTGAGACAATGCCCCAAATGGGGGGGGGAGAGTCTCAACCTCCTTTTTGCTCTTCGCCCGCAGAGAGCGCTTGGATCTTGAGCGGCCACGTGGTCGGGGACGACTCCTGGTTGATGTCCAGTCAACGCCTGGTTCTCCTTGGATTGGGGATCACGAACAGACCGGATCCTCCAGAACGTTTGCTGGGGGCTGCACAAAGTTGCGCTAGCTGTGCCACTAGAAGGATGTCAAGACTACTGAGATCTATTGAGCTATATTGAGCTATGCCACCTTACCTCCCCTCCCGCCTTACTCCACCTGAAAGACCAAGGTCGGTCAAAAGCCTTTTGCTGCCTCGGCTTGAATGTTGGGAAGCAACAAAACACTCCAAGCGTTGGATCTCCAGGCCTCTGAACCCTCTGCTTCTTGGTTCTCAAAGTCCTTCAAGAGCTCCTGCGGCCAGGTTGGGAGCTCTTTCAAGGGGTCCGGTGGGTGAGTCCTGCAGTTCCAGGTGATTTCTCAAACCAAACTAAGGGAGAAGAGCCAAGCCGGCGATAGTCAGTCCATGTCTGTTCTTTCCGCTGTCACTTCATACGCCAGCTTTACAGCGGGCACACCCCCAAAAGAAGGGCAAATCATGGCAAACCAAAGAAGCTTCACTCTGCAAACGTTACGTTGCTCAGAAGTTCTTCAATTCGATGTTTTGCTCCGTGGTGCCTGAGGTCGCCATCTAGAGGGCTCCAGGTCGCTCCTCGTATTCAGACACCGACACGGTGTAGTCCTTGGGCACATAGCCCAACGGTGCCTCTGGTCCCAGCTTTTGACAAAAGACCCACGCGGAGCCATCGTCGTAGACCACTTCAAGGACCTACCCGTGCCCATACGCGGGGGAGAAATCCAAACCGGGAAGGAGTCATGCATAGAGACTTTGCCTTTATCATCCTTTATCTATACATAGCTATCCTTTTCCCAGGAGATGTGTAGTAACACGGCATGTGTAGTAACACCATGGCACGGTAAATCGATGCAAATCACTAAACTCATCAAGCCCAAACTCAAACCATCCACGTATGGAATAGTTATACGCCACGGGCCATGTCCATGCATAGATGGCCCGGGAAGTTGCAACAAAGTTTCAACACCACCTGTAATTGGGCAGCGGCATTGTTTCAATTTTAGGACTCCAAAAGGTGATCGAAATGAGCAGCCCCGAGGACTGGTGCCCTGCTAGAACCCTCTGGAGTCTCAAGATCGAGTTTGGACCCCAAAATGGAACACACACACACACACACACACTGACTCAGGAGTGGAGGCCCCTGCAATCGGGGGTGAACTCCACTTTCATGTGATGTGTTTGTGGGAGAATCTCTCTCAGAACACCGGTGTTTTCGTCCTTTGGTTCCCGGCCCGTCGCCCCGTCGTCCTCCCCAACGTTCACTGCCAAAGGCTTTTGGCGACTGAAGGGCCACTGTCCCTCGGCCAGCATGACCGAGGGGTTGAACTCGTAAAGGGCCACCAGGCGCTGGCGCTCCAAAACGGCCGCCATGGCCGCCGTGCTTGGGCGTCTTTTGTAAAAGGAAACCCGAGGGTATTGACACCTGAGATTAAAAAAACAACTCGGTCGTTGTGATATCAACGATGTCGATATTAAAGGAGTTTGGATTTGGAGTGATGTGGCAAATGTTTACAAGGGAACTTACACAGAGCCAAACACATTGATTTGTATTGCGAAGAAGCCGCCGCCAAGAAATATTTTATCTGGCGTAACTGGTGTTTACTGAATCTGCATCGAAGCTATCTTCCACGTACCTCAATGCGGCATTGAGCCACTATCAAGCCACTTGTAGTACGCAGAGTATACTCCTATACACTATACCGCACATAACCTTTACAGTTCCATTCTTGTGATCCTGTGGTGGGCATGATTCCCCATCGTGCAAATCGGACACGGATGGAGGAGAGGAGGTCTTCCAATGCTTTCGACATTGTTTCATTTTATGATGGTCTTCTCGCTGATCACATGGCGCAGCTGAAAAAGGATCTGAAACCAGCTGTAGCAGAAAACTCCAGGGACGAGCGAGGGACCAGCTGCCTGCACCATCCGGGTGCTGCAGGACCTCCATCGCTGATGTACAACATTGTGCTACTAGCCTTGTGATTCACAGGAAAGGCATGAAACAAAACCGCTGCAATCTACTGGAATCACAAGTGCTAAAGGTCGTCCTGCCATGAAAAGCATGAAAAAACCACTGGGTGGTCTGTGGAAATCAATGTAATGGTCCCTCCTGCCATGATCAACCTCACTTCTCAATGAACCGTTCAACAACTGGTGGCCGCCACGTGCGAAATCCCTGTTCAAGAGAATGGAAGGACGAAAAAGTGACCTAGTTTGGTGGTTTCAACTCTGAAAAATATGTCAGTGAATTCAATCATCCCAACTATAAAGGTTGAACATAAACTGAAACCACCACCAGTGACCCCATCACCAGCCGGTTCCCCTTTCAGTGTGCCAAACCCACCACCCACCCGACCCCGGATGTGTTGTGAGTTCGGCACCCAGCGAAGGTACGCCACCACGTCCGCCTGGAAGGTCACCGCGTGGAGTTCTCCACGCGGCGACCAAGTGCCGCCCAGGGTCAATGGTTTCCTCAATCAATTGGATTTAGAATGCCCCAAAACTCCACGCATACCACATACCTACATTGAGGTGGTGCCACGATATGCCATACATGGAGCATTTAAACTATTTAGGGAACTGGTTGGTCCAAACAACCCTTGAACATCTCGATATAGATTTGCTCGTCAGCAATGTCAGGAGATGTTTAAAGAGTGTGAAGTAAAAATTCACACCAGTGGCATCCGTGTAAGCTTGGACATTTTGTCATGCATGGGGAATGGTGAGGCTGGGCATGCCAATGCTGTAATTTCTTACTTATACAAATACTCTCGCCTATTGTCACTAAGCCAACTTCTTCCGAACAAACATCTGAATGGAGACTTATTAACATGGAGAACGCAACTTCAGCACAACTACGCTTCAAAGCCAGTTGTGAGCAACAAACACCGTTTTTTGAATTTCTCAGTGTAAGCTCAGATCTGTCAGTGTTCCGCTTCAATTTGCCGAAGTCCAACACCTGAAGTCCACTTGTATCAGTCTTCCCCGGCCACTGACTGTGTTCCATCATGCAAGGACGGTGTCACCATGTGTTTCCCAATGTGGAAAGACCCTCAGGTGACCTGGATCTCTCCATCTGGTCCCACCTCGGACACGCCGGGGCCAGGGGTTGACATTGACACCACCTTGGACGGATCGGGGCGATCGAGCACTCAGTGTTTCCGTGGTTGGTGGGGCTCGATGCAGGGGCCGATGCGGAGAGATCAGAACGTTGGTCAGATTCGAGTTGCTTTGAGAGATCGGTTTGTGGGGCCGGTTTCTTCAGAAATAGTCTGGGGAGGTCTAGGGTTCTTCATGCCACAACGCCACCTTTCATTTTCAACACTCAGAATTCCTGATTTGGCTGTGGGTCGGAGACAGACCGACTGGTTGACCACCACATGAAATCAAATGAACAGAATAAACGGGCATACATGGTTTTCGTGTTTGTGATATGTTTTGATTGGTTTGGGGATCCAGGTTTTGATCCACACCCTTTGGAGCCGCTCTCCGTGCTTCGGCTCCATTCGGCTCCCAGGCCGAGCAGTCGCCTTGATCGGCCTGGCCGCCCGCGAGCGCGCGAGGTGGTGGCGCTTGCTTGCGCGCATCGGCGGTGGCAGCGAGACGGGTGAGAGCAAAGCGGTGGAAAGCTCAGCATGTCCCGATCAGTCCAATTTTATTACTAGGAACTTGAAGCTACTAGTAACAAGTGCATCGCTACTAGTAACAAGTGCCTTACTAGTAGTAACAAGGAAGCTACTAGTAGCCATATTAATACTCAAACACTCCACTTTGTATGCCATATTTGCCTTGCCGATCAGTTGGGGTGCTGCCAGGGGGTTCATGTATATATGTTCCATACATTGAAATATGTTGGGAACTGGTTGGTCCAAACAAATCTTTGGTCCAAACAAATCTTAGGCATATAATTGCATATATTCCATACATGGAGTGTATGGGATATTGTATATAGTGACTGATCTATAATAGAGGAAGATAGTGATCCTCTATGGAGGGGTCCTTCTAGGAGGCTTGGAGGGTGATATAGAATCTAACTGCTTTTGGGACATTGACTGTATCATCCAGCTGATGGGACACCGACAAACCTCGTGGACCAGACGCCCTTCCAAACCTGGTTTACGCCGCAAGGTGCACGCCTGACGGAGCAAGGCTTCCAGGTGGAGCTTGCCTTGACGGATGAAGCAAGGCACCGACGGAGGAGCAAGTATGGAACCGGTCAAATACGGAACATGGAACCTCATAATCATCCTATATACATCCTATAACCGATCTACATCATCGATT